GAAGACCCAGGACACGCTGGAGGGACTATGTCTCTTGGCTGGCCTGGGAACACCTCGGCCTTCCCCCGGAGGAGCTGGAGGAAGTGTCTGGAGAGAGGGAAGTCTGGGCATCTTTGCTTAGACTGCTGCCCCCGCGACCCGGTCCCGGATAAGTGGAGGAAAATGGATGGATGGATGGATGGATAAGATACATTATGCTTATAGAACACTAGTGCAATGGGATGAGAGGGAATGAAACAGTGCACAATAAGAAGATAAGTTACATGAGTGAACAGTTCAATGGATGTAAATAGTGCAAAGATAAAGATAAATATAAAGTATCTGCATATGAACAGTGTGCAAATGAATAACAGAGCAGTATTCTGTGAGTAGAGTATGTGCAAATTAACAGATCACTTCAGTGTTACAGGTAACAGAAGTGCATTAGTCCCAGGAGGAGAGATGAGAAGGGATGAGGTGTGTGTAGTGGTATAGAAGAAGGCAGTGGGGGGGGTCAACAGGGGACAGAGTTCAGTAAGGAGACAGCTGTGGGGAAGAAGCTGTTCCTGAGTCTACTGATTTTGGTCCGGAGGCTCCTGAAGCGCCTCCCAGAGGGTAGGAGGACAAACAGTTTGTGAGCAGAGTGAGAGGACTATTTGAGAATGCCGCGAGCACGTCGGAGACAGCGTTCCCTGTGGACACCCTCGATGGCTGGAAGTGGAGTCCCTGTGATGCGTTGGGCAGTTTTCACCACCCGCTGCAGCGCCTTGAGGTCGGAGACAGAGCAGTTTCCACACCAGACTGTGATACAGCTGGTCAGGATGCTCTTGATGGCACAGTGGTAGAAGTTCACCAGGATGGCTGAAGACAAGTGGTGTCCTCAGGAAGAAGAGGTGCTGGTGAGCCTTCTTAACCAGGCTGCAGGTGTTGGTGGTCCAGGACAGATCCTTTGAGATGTGGGTCCCCAGGAATTTGAAGCTGGAGACACGTTCAACAACCATCCCGTTAATATGGATGGGGTCGTGTGTGCCTCCTTTCTCCCTCCTGTAGTCCACAATGAGCTCCTTGGTCTTGTCGGTCTTAAGGAGGTTATTGTCAGCGCACCACACAGCCAGGTGCTGTACCTCCTCCCTGTAGGCTGACTCATCGTTGTTGCTGATGAGGCCAATCTCCATGGTGTCGTCTGCAAACTTGATGATGGTGTAACAGCCATGTACAGGCCTGCAATTATGGGTTAAAAGGGAGAAGAGGAATGGGCTCAGCACACAGCCCTGTGGTATGCCGGTGTTGAGGATACTGAATGGTGGAGAAGCAGGTGTTGTCTGGCCTAACATGCTGTTGGTCAGAAAGTCCAGAATCCAGTTGCAGAGGGAGGTGCTGATGCCCAGGTCTCCAGGTTTGGTGGTTAACTTGGAGGGGATGACTATGTTAAATGCTGAGCTAAAGTCCATGAACACCATTCTTCATAAGTGTTGTTGTTGTCCAGGTGTCTGAGTACAGAGTGCAGTGCTATGGAGACTACATCCTCTGTGCTCCTATTTCTGCAGCAGGCAAATTGTTGGGGGTCCAGTGTAGCTGGGAGACAGGTCATCAGTTGTACCAGGACCAGGTGCTCGAAGCACTTGATGACAATGGTTGTGAGTGCTACAGGGTGGTAGTCATTCAGGCATGTCAGGGTGGAATGTTTCGGCACTAGTTGTCTCCTTGTTGTCATGGTCGAAGTGAGCATAGAAGTCATTTAGCTTGTTGAGGAAGGAGACATCTGTGGTTGTTGGGGTGGAGTTGCTGGGCTTGTAGTCACTGATGACCTGGATGAACTTGTATATGTATGTACGTAATTAGAAATAGACAGTTGTCTTGTTTTTTTGTTTTTTTACTTGTTATTCTGTTTCTTTTTTCTGTTTTATTTTGTGCACATCAGGGGCCATTGAGCTGGAGTCCAATTCCTTTTATTTTAACGTACTTGACAATAAAGCTTATGATTGATTGAAATGTTTACATACTTTCTATGTTCATCAAATTGCAGTGAAACTGCCATCATGTCTTTAGAGGTTTTAGAGGTTAAAATATGTTTAACCTTTGTGCTCTGTTTATGTTCAGTTTACACCACCTGTGTTCACAGGTGTCCTGCATCGGCATAATCTTTTGGCTTTGTAACTCAACATAATCAAAGAATTCTAATCTAAAACAATGTATTAATCAACTCTAATAATGATGTTTACATTTGACCTTTACCTTTGTTAGATTACATTACATAAGGGTTAAAACTATGTTATTGTATTTATTGGTTAGACGATTGGAAAAAAAAAATTTACACATGATGCAAGATTTTTCACAACTGCTGATGCCTCCTTTTGTGGCATTGTAGTCCATGATAATCTGTGGTTTGTGGCCACAGATTGTCCCATCCCTGTGCAGTGTACTCATCAAAAGAAAATTCTTGCCTTTCTTTGGCACATAGGACACCAGGGACGTGTCAGCTGTGTACACAAACTTGGAGGAATTTACAATTTTCAAGGAGAGCATAAAGATGTAAATGTTGGAAATACTTTTATGCAAAACTAATCAACAGATGTAAATTGCTGAACTATTCAGGATGGACTGACTGTTGTCACAATAAGAACATGCTTGGGTCACTGCAGTGTGCGGTCACTGAAAATGTGCTCAGATATATGTTCATCACACAAAATGAGCCAAGGACATTGAGTTTGAGCCTGAAAAAATAATTTCTTGTATGTTTTTTCTTTAGATAAAAAGTGAAAACGGGTGTACTGCACCCGAACAGGGCACAAGGGTTTGAAATGTTGAGCTTAGTCACATAAACTCACCATATAAATGTAATGTTAAAGAAATGTTCAACAATAGCTCTATTATTATTTTCAAAAAGACTCTCAATATTAAGTTGGGGCATATACGAGGGACACAGGCCTAAATACCCAGTACCATGGATAACACAGAAGGGAAAGTGACAGCAACTCAATTTAATAGTGTGTTTAAAAGCTAAGTGCACATTCCACGGTAACAAGGCAGCCCACCCTGTGTACATGTTACACGGCCTGTTCTGCTCCTCCCCCGTCCTGGCTTTAGTCAGCCTGCTGGCACAATATGTGAAAGCCAATCTGAGACCTAACCTAGGGCTGAGCCAGAATGTTATCTTAAACTGGACACCACCATGGCACTGCTACCGAACACTTCCAGTGAACTCAGCGGGGATCCACCCGTTCATCCGTGAAAATAACACTTCTCTCGTTCAAATCGATCTCCAGACATTCTGTTTTCGTGCTGCCTGTCGATCCTCAGATGTCGCTCCCAGTTGTGCTGCCGGGGTCTTGTTGTCCGGTTACCGGGTCTTCCCAGCTCCCAGAGCCATCTTACAGAAACAGACCCCGTGGCTTGCCCGCTTCTTCTGCGGTGTCTCGCGGCTGCTGCTGCCCGGGCGGCCGCTGCTGTCGCTGGGTTTGTTGCAGCTGCTGCTCGGCGGCTCCATGGTGGCGCTGTCCTTTGGAGCTCTGTCCCTCAGCAACTCAGCCCTCATCCGAAACTCCTGTCCTTTCTGGGCAGGTTCCTCGGTAAGTTAGCCCCAGGCTTCGTGTGTCATGACATTTCAGAGGTTCCTATCATATTTAATGACATGAAATAACTTTACCCTTGCTCAGTTCACATTGTAGATGGGCCCACAAAGGCGTTACATCGGGATTTAGTCTTCAAACGGATATAACAGACAAAAATGCTGTAACGTTACATCACAAAGCTTCCGAGTTGGAGCCATAACACCTGTGTAAGGACTGTTTTCCATTGATACGGTATCTGTCCGTCATACCTGTCCTTACACGGACAGAGCAGGTGTGCTAGTTGGACGTGCACACCCTTAATGTGAGCAGGTCCCTGTTCTAGAAGAACAATCCCACAAAACAAGACTCTTTTCAGTTTTGATACCGTTTCTAGATAACTCTGTAGCCTGCAGAGCTGCAGCATTTCAACCTTTAATTAGGATTAAAGGTTGAAATGCTGCTTCGTTTCAGAGGTCACAATTTAGAAACTTTAAGACTTGCAGGTGGACTTGTATGAAGACAGCTTGTTTTGACATCTGAGACATAGCCTATATCATTAATTTATGGCTAGCATTTTGATTTTGTATCCAGTCTCCCTGCAAAGCTATAGTCTAAACGCATCCTGGACACAGAAGTAAAGACGGCAAGCAAAGCTCACTTTGAACACTTTGTGTTAACTGGCTGAAAGTCACAGACACCTTTTGCAACTGGGACCCTTCACACTTCACATTTCATATTTACATCACTCTAGGTTTTCACTATAATTTTTTTTACCTTCTGTGGAAATTCAGTACTGTTCAATGTAGTTTTATTTGTATAGCACCAAATCACAACAAAAGTCATCTCAGGACGCTTTACAAAGTAAGGCCTAGACCTTACTGTTATTATTATAGAGGAAAAACCCAACAAATCCCCCTTGTGCAAGCACTTGATGACAGTGGGGAGGAAAAACGCCCTGCTCTGGCTCTGGAATAGACTGGATCTTCAAAAATAAAATCTTTTAGATTCCACACATAAATGTATTCCAATGTATCATCTGTATTGATGGAGTTTCATTTATTTAGCTCTTTACCAACATCTTCCTTTTATTGCTTCCTTAAAAAGTTGCGTCCTTGAACTTTCCCCCACTTTTCTAAATATTCAGATTTCTTTGACATGCTCCTTCATGCAAACTATGCCAGCCAAGCTATTTATTAACAATTTTTAACAGTTATTTCCACCTTTAGCCACAGTTCAGTTAGGCTTAAGCTTTTCCACCAGGCAGCAATGCTGTTTAGCTCAAGCTGTCTCCCACTATAGTTTCTTCAGGAATTGCATTTTCTAGTTAGAAACTGTTAGTGTGCAGCAATAAGTAACAGTGGAGGAGTTAAAAAGCTGAATGTGAGTACTGGTTCAATTCCATCACGGTTTGAAAAACTAAAAAGCAGACTTGTTATTCCACATAAAATGTGAGCTGTGGTTCTTCACAATAATAAAAAGCAATAAATTATTAAATTTCAGTGTTTGTGTTACTGATGCTGTTTTTGTGAAATGTTACTTGGAGCTTTCTATTACATTGTGATAGATACTTTGTGTGTGTGTGTGTGTGTGTGTATCTGTTTTGTATAGTTCCACATGAGCAGCACCTAAACATTATTCTTCTCCATATGTTTCCAGGTGATTCTATCAGGCATTGTAGGCCTCACCACATGGAGACGGCCCATGCTTCTACTGGTAAGGGACATGGTTTTAGTTTCTTTTATATAGCGGTGATTATAATGTTGTGTTGCTGATAAAGCCAAAAACATAAGGAACAAAACTGGATTTTACCTAGTCATGGGTGTCCAGCCAGTTCTATAGAGAGCCAGCAGTCTGGAGGGTTCCAGGTTTCCATTCTGATGACCAGTACTCCTTCATATAGAAGGGGAATCAGCAGTGAAATCTCTTCCTGACATGGCCACTTAAACAGAAAATATGCAGAATGGCAAACAGTGGTTGAGCAGCTACTTTGTCAGAAATACAGCAGAAGAGCAGCTGCTGTATCTGTTACCGTGTAGCCAAACAAACTCAAGTTGTTATAACGAAGTCAGTTAATAATAGTTACAACCTCCATCTGATGATATGATGTAAACACAGCCAGTAGTTTTCCACAGTAATCAGATTGCTGTGCAGTCAGAGGCGTGTCACCTGTAGCTCACTAGATCTACCTGCAGTGTTTCTTTACTCGACTCAAGTGCAGAAAACACACCGTGTACATAATTTCTGACTAAAATCCTTTCTTGCAAAATGTCTTCTTACAGACATTTTGATGAATGATCATGGTCAGTGACAAATGTTTCCCGAGTAAGAGTAACACTGGATTACAAGCTGTTTCGTTTCCTGTGAATACCTCATTTGTATGAGGGTACTGTAATTTGAATCCAGTGTGAGAATGGCAGACTCCACCAGAAAAAAACTAATTAGTTTATACAGCATGCCAACTACCACATCTTAAGTGTTTATACAGTAGCTGTTCCAAACAGCAACACTTGAATGTATCACACTAAAATGGAGTGCACTTTCAGACAGTGTCTCCTTGAGGACATTCATAGTGTTGCACTCAGTTGATCACATGATAAGTGGCATTTAGTTGAATGAAGAATTAGAGAAGTTTGAAATGTACTTTCTCACATCCACACATCTGGGCAATTACACGACAATGATGGGATTGTCTGATTGCCCGTTTCAGAAAGTTACAGAAGTTGTTAGACACCTGAAATCTGGGACTGGGTGTCTAAAAGATGTGTGTGGTCTGGATTTCTTCTTTGAGGAAAAGTCATGGAAGAATGGGTACATTTTATTGCAGAAGAAATACAATCAGGTCTAAGCTGTGTGTCCTCTAGCATTTCTGTTGAAGCCACGATGCAAAAACCAGCAAAAAAGTCAGCATAATGTATTAAACTTTATACATATATTTGATACTCTTGTGATTTAAAAAAAAATTGTCTTGATTGTTCCTCTGTTAGGGTTTTGGATTTGCTTCCTGTTTGGTACTTTTATTTTGAAAGGGTTTCCTGCTTTTTATCATCTTACCTGCCTCAGCTTTACACCGCTCTTTGATGACCACTTATTTCCTTCACCTGCTGGTTGTTGTTGCCTAGTCTCAAGCCTTTATATTCTCCTCACTTCCCTCCGTTAGATGCTGGTTCATCTGTTCACCACACTCTGCTTGTTCCTGTGGCTCTGTAAATGACTCTTGTTTTGTTTGCTGCTTAGAAAATCCTGGACTCTTTTCCCTTACCTCATCTATGGGCTTTGGACTTGCATCCCATCTTGGATTTTTGGTTTGTTCCTTGGGTTTTTTTTAAGTGTAGTTGTGTATGTTTTTAGTTCTTCATATTGTTCCTTGGCTATACTATTTAAACACACATGCCCACATGAAGATCTTGTATAAATTCAAATGCTACTGTTGAATTAAGTTGCTGGGAGCTTAATACAGTGTGCAGACGTTTCCCCACTTTTTTTTGCTTTCAAGTTGCTGTTGATCCAGCACCTGCATACGTTTTTGGATGTATAGCCTATGTTCTTTGAAGTCAGGGTGCAATGAGAGACCTTACTGCTATCAGGCCCATGTTGTTGGCCGATGGTTGTGTATGATCCCTAAGACACACCTGGAGGTGTGAGAGACTGGTTCAGCTATGAAGCTCCACAGACTCAGCAGTAGAGCAGGATGTTGGAACAGGAATTTGTTCTGTCTTGCTCAAAGAAGGTCAGTAGTTATGTCACCATCAGTGAGTTTCTTCCACTTCTCTGCTGGTATTTTGGACCACTCTTCTTTTGGCAACTGCTCCAAGTCTCTCAGATTTGTTTATCCCAGCTGCTGTTCTGAGATCTCTCCACAGGTCCACCATGGGATTTAGATCTGGAGTCATTGCTGGCCACCTCAGAACTTTCCAGCGCATTGTCTGAAACCATTTCTGGTGCTTTATTTGAAGTCTGCTTTGGGTCATTGTCCTGCTGTGTAAGACCCAGGACCTCTAACCCAACTTTCTGACACCGGCCCTACATTGCACCCCAGAATTTGTTGGTAGTCTTCAGATTTCATAATACCATACACACAGTCAAGACATCCACTGTCTGAAGCAGCAAAGCAACCCCAAAACATCAGTGAACTTCCACCGTGCTTGACCTTAGGGACCGCATTCTTTTCTTTGAAGGCCTCATTTCATTTGCTGAAAACAGTAGAACGATGTGCTCGATCAAAAAGCTTTATTTTAGTCTCATCTGTCCACAGGACATTCTCCCAGAAGGACTGTGGCTTCCTCAGGTAAGTTTAGGCAAACTCCAATCTGACTGTTATGTTTCTTTGTCAGCAGTGGGGTCCCCCTAGGCTTCCTACCTTATTATTCCATATTATTCAGATGGCGACTGATAGTGAGCTGACACTGCATCCTGGTCCTACAGGTCAGCTTGAATCTGTTTGGAAGTAGATCAGGGTTCTTTATTCACCATTGTCTATTTTTCTCTTTCGTCCAGGGAGGTTGGCTATGGTGCCATGGGCTGCAAACGTCTTGCCAATGTTGGCACAGTGGACACAGGAACAGCCAGATCTCTGGAGATGGACTTGGAGCCTTGAGACTGTCCAGGCTTTTCCACTATTGTGGTTCTCAAATCCTCAGCCAGTTCTTTGCTCTTCTTTCTATTCTCCATGCTCAGTGTGGTCCACATGACACAAAGGTTGAGACAGCTTTTCAAACAAACAAAGAGTCAGGCAGGTAATCAGTTGCAAGCAGGCAGAGAACAGGTCCAGAAAACAGGCAACAGGTTCCAGGTAGGTCCTGGAAAACAGATCACTGGAATAGCTGGATAGAACTGCAAAAAGTCAGGTGAATATCTAGCACTGAGGAGCAGAGGGACACAACTTGTATAGGCTGCATAATGAGGCACTGGTGAGACAAATCAGCTGCTGTTGTGTCAAAAGTGGACAGCACAACGAACTGCAACGTATTAATTAATTTGAATTTCTCCTCCATAGATAGGTAAACAACGGTATATGTACCGATGAAAAGAGATGCGTAACACTCTAAACAAAGCGGGTAATTGAGAAACCCCATATTTTAACTGGCATAATGCAGACATGACATAGTAACTTCTCCAACCTTACAACAATTCTCTCTAATGTTCCGGAAACAAGGCATTAACAGACTTTTTTTTTTTTTTTAACCTACTGTTAAGTCCCACTAAATGGTCGAAACATCACTCCCTTTCAAGTAGCTGCAAGGTTGGTAAATCCAACCAGTGGTCACTGTGTCTTCCCCCACATACAGTCACAAAGTAGTGAAATTAATTCCAACAGGTAGCATAGCACCAACAATAACATCATGGATCTTTAATCTACTCGTTAACACATCACATGCAGCAGACACACTGGCCTCAAGCAGTCAAAACAAGCTGGTACTGTGCTCTGGGGGAATCCAGCGTTGAGCTGATCATTCACCATCGCCGGGGGTTACACAGGCCGGCTGCTTGTAGGTTAGACCCGGTCAGGTAACACGGCTAGTCCCTGTATATTCCCAGACATGCAATAACCTCAGGCCCTGTATGTTTCTCCACATTCTCTGGTCACAGTACAGGCAGTGGGAGGTAAAATACAGAGTGGGTGAAAAGTAACTAGGCATTAAAAATTGGCTATATAACTTGTAGCATCACTGGAGTCATGATGAAAACAGTCTCTAAATAGACAATAGTAAATAGGATTTCATATGAAATGATTCATATGAATCAAATTCAACGATTGATGATGAATTAATCATATAACATTTTGCCAATATGGTGGGGGCGCAACAGCCTGGAGATTATGCCCATTCAAGGAGATCCTTAAACTATCACATAATACATAATTTTGTTAGGAAAAAGAGACTCGTGAGCAAGAGTTTGTGAGACGTGTATAATCAGAGTTGCTTCTGTATAGAAATACTAGGGCATACATACACCTCATTTTTTGAGCTTTAGGTCATGTCTAAGATGGTAATTCACTGTTGTATCATTGTAGATAGAAGTTGTCTTCTCCTGGCCATGTTCAGCCTTTTTCCCGTATAGGGGTCGCCACAGCGAATCGTCACACTGACGACTTGCATGCTGACATTTGGCACGTGTTTTACGCCGGATGCCCTTCCTGACGCAATCCTGATTCGAACCCGGGGCACAGCGGCAAGAGCACTGTGCCTTAACCACTAGCCTACCAGGGACGGCTTTGTTGTATCATTGTAGATAAATCAAAAAAAAAAGGAAAAGCATGCCGCAGGCTCTTTAAAATCATGATAATGCTCCTTCTTCTTTCTAACGATACTTCTTCTTTGTCATCCAAGCATCTCCAAATCCAAGCTGCTATTTCAATTCACATTCTAGAGCCAGTGTGTGGGTTGCCTGTTCTGGACGACTGTAAAAAACATGGCTGTCTCCGTGATAGCTACAGTATAAAAGGCTCATTCAAAGCTAAATAAAATGCAACAATTCTTATTTTCTGGTGATTACATATTAATGAAAATTTTGCATACTATAGTTCATTTCTGCTAATAAAGCCTTCTAGAGCTTACACAGCAGCACAGCAGTGCGGTAGTTAGCGCTGTGGCCTGACAGGGACCTTGCTGTGTCAGAGTTTACATGTTCTCCCCTGTGCCTGCGTGGGTTCTCTCTGGGTACTCCAGCTTCCTCCCATAGCCCAAAGATATGCATCTTAGGTTGACTAAATTTCCCCTAGGACAGGGTGTGAGTGTGAGTGGTTGTCTAAGTGTCAGCCCTCTTGACCATTGTCAGTTGGAGCCAATCCCAGCTGACATTGGCCGACCCATGACCTTATTCAAGAATGAGCGGTATAGATAATGGATGGATGGATGAATTGTTAGGCAGCCCAAAAGTAAAAATGCTGTCTGTATCATGTAAACATATTGACAAAGAAAGGGAGAGGATGGAGTAAAAGGGAGTAGGAATCAGCACACATTTCATAACAGGTGCTCTACTGAATGTTATGTCACTGAAGTAAATTATAGTACTGCTGGGCTATAGTTAGTTATTGTTGCATTACATGAAATAAAATGAATGCCAAGTATGTTGCATAGTAGTTATTTTAAGGAGAGTCTGTTCATTCTGAATTGAATGAATATACTGCAACAATATATAGATGCTGTTGTCAGAAAGTTCAAAAGATGTTGGGTTCATTCAAGTTCATTATGAGGTGGTGAGAAACGTAGCCTTACGCTCAGCAATTTCACTGCTGGTGTGATGTACTTTTATAATGAAAGAAACACATTTCATATACATTTTAAATTCTTGGTTTGTTGCATTCCTTATTGGTAGCTTATAAATGTACAGTAGATGTTGTGTATTTTTGTAAGTTTGGGTTCCAGAGAAAGATCTTTTTGGGGGTTTTGGGCTGAAAAAGTTTGGGAACCCAAAGTCTAATCCAGTGTCACCTCATTTGTGTTTGTGTTTGCATATGGCCCACGCAACATTACTATGTAACTGTTGTGTCACTCTCCATTTGATTATATCACATTTACATTTTTTTTTAACCAAGTAATTCAACAGAGTTAGACATGTGCTCACACCACAATAATTCATCTTCCCTTCCTTCTTTCATCCACCCCTCCCCCATCCCTCCATCTCCAGGTCAATGTGTTTGTCCTGCTGTCTGTGGTGTGTGTGCTCCTTAATCTGGCTGGATTCATCCTGTGCTGCCAGGGAGCCCAGCTGGTTTCCAGTATGACCAGCTGCAAACTGGTGAGGCTGCTACCTGTTTGTGTCTGTCTGAGTTTGGCCTCATCATTTGTAGATTATCTGTTTTCAGTATCCTTCAGTCTCCCTGCTTCCCTCTGTTCCTCCTGTGGGAAGTGAACAGGAAAGGACATCATGCTTATTAATTTGTATGTATTCCAAGTTGAACCAGTTTACTGGGGAAGATGGTAAATCAAATTGTTCTTTATCATTTAATTGCTTTAGGTAGAAAAGAGAAAAGCGGGGTACCAAAAATCGGGAGTACACTATCTTTGTGTGGATTTGCCTGTCTTGAGGGGAGCAAATGTTAAATCACTGAATTTTATGAAAAAGAAGTGGTTTAAGGTTAGACTTGAGATTGGGTTTGGTTAAGGTTAGGTGTAGTGCCTACAAGTCCAAAACAGACATTTTGAAGAGATGTTTTATCCTGAGAAATATTCATAAGTGGGGGAGGTGACAGTGCGGTGGGTGGAGCAGTCATCTCCCAACCAGAAGGTTGAAGTTTCGAATCTCGGTGCCTCCAGTCCACATATCGAAGTGTCTTTGGGCAAGACACTGAACCAATAAAGGTGATTATCCTATTGTTCTATTATCCTAAGTAATAAACTAACTTTACTTTATTTCTGCACTGGAATCTGGATAGACCACCATAGAAATTTGCTAAATACTCACAGTCTCTTTTGGATAAGAAAATGCTCTTAGATTTAAAAATGTGAAATTGTGTTAACCCAAGGTGGTGTAAAATATCTACACGGAAATTAGAAATGTTTAGTTAAACTGATAAATGATCCCAAACCTGAAGTTACAAGTGATACAGAAGTCTGGTGAAGACTGGTGATTCTGCCTGTTTTTTAAGATGCTTGATAAATTAACCACTACCAGAGACTTTATGTTAATCTTGACAGTCTAACCTCCTCAAAAGATTACTTAAGAAATTGTATTTTTAATTTCTTTATTTTAATGATTGTGTGCTTGCTTTTGTCTTTAATCCAAAATGAACTTTCCTTCCAACCATATGAATTTACTTTCTTACTTTGTGTGGATGCCTAGACTGTCACTTCTGTGTTTAAGATTGATGTTCACATACTTTGCTCATATGTGTGATTTATGCTTCATACCAGCCATGGTGGAAAAAAGTATGACTCACATACTAAGACATACTAATTCATAAAATGAGCTTAAAAGATTAATCTCTCAATCAATTATAGTACGCTCCTACAGAGCCAACCAGAAACCATTCCATAGACACAGAGTCCCAGTCAGTCGGAGGACTCCAACCTCTGGACTTCTGAACCAATCAGACGAAGTCTTTAGTCAAGCTGAATTTCAATTCAGTTCAATTCAGTTTTGTATAGCACCAAATCACAACAAAAGTCATCTCAATAAACTTTATAAAGTAAGGCCTCCCATTCTACTTCTGTAGACTCTAGGAACCACAAGTAGACCTGCACCCTGAGAGCGAAGTTCTCCCTTGGGACGTTAAGGCACTATGAGGTCTTTAAGATATGATGGAGCCTTGTCATTAAGGGCTTTGTATGTTAGGAGAAGGATTTTAAATTCTATTCTGAATTTTACAGGGAGCCAGTGGAGAGAAGCTAATATGGGAGAGCTATGATCTCTCTTGCTAGTTCCTGTCAGTACTCTGGGTGCAGCATTTTGGATTAACTGGAGGCTTTTATGGAACTATTGGGACATCCTGATAGTAAAGAGTTACAGTAGTCCAGCCTGGAAGTAACAAATGCATGGACCAGTTTTTCAGCATCCCTTTGAGACAGGATGCTCCTGATTTTAGCTATATTGTGCACAGATGAAAGAAGGCAGTTCTAGAGACTTGGTTTACGTGTGATTTAAAAGACATAGCCTGGTCAATGGAAATTTATGTTGTTTCCTGATAATATTGCCTAAAGGGAAATGAATGAATGACTATGTAACCCCTCCTTGAGACACCATCAGAACAATCCTGTGATGATCAGTTTAATTTAAACACGGTTTTCCTTCGAGACATTGTAAACGCCAGAAACACAGAAGGATCCTGGTGAAGCTAGCATCCTAGAGAAATCACCGGCCAATTGAGAAGCAGCTCCCCCTGAGAGTGAGCCAGCCCAATCCAGTGATGACAGATTATCACAAGTCTCCAGTTTAGGACCATCTTGGAACTTCTGACCCATCTCAACTCTGGCCTAAAGAGGGTCCAAATTCAGTGCTTCTCTTCTCCTGGCCATGTGAGCCCTGCCAACAGCTAAGTACACCCGATAGACTGAGCTCATGAAAACCATAGTTATTACCAAACTAAAGTCTCTAACCTATCGAAATTGAGTTAATTTTTCTCTACGGATTCGGGACTAAACCCCAGAATTTAGATTTAGCTCAATGTTAGACCATTGTAACTCATTCTCCACCATTGCTAACCAGAGACCAGTGGTTCCTCCAGCCATCTACTGAACACATCTTGTTCTAACTGTACCATTTGAATTGCGTCTCTCACCCCAATCATTTGTCCTGTGTACATATTGTAAATAAAAAAAAATTAGCTTGTAACTGGCTTCATTATGTCATCTTTGGGGTCTCTTCTATTTTCAGTAAATTGGTCAATGAACTGGTAGAGTTCACTGCTTTCAGATGAGACTGAATTAATTACTCTTGTTAACCACTTAATTGACAGTGTGATGTCACTCAAAACTATCTGTTGCCCTAATCTAATGAGGTATTGAAATATTAAAATATTAATGTCCAGGTTCATAAAGTGTAGTAAGATCCACTACATAGGGTAAGTCTCCAGGAAATTAATGTCTATGTCATGACCCGTAAGTTACAAAAACAAGGATGTGTGGGTGTGTATGTCAGTATTTCATCATGTCCTAAAAAGATCCTGATCAGTTGTAAAAACATTGTTGTCAGTCACATCCCACATAAAGTCAGCAGCAACAGGAAATCACCACTCTCTGTGTGTTTAAAATTAAATCAATTAAAATAAACAAGAATCACAAAATTCTGAAATAATCCACCAAATGTCTGAAACTATCATGGAATCTTATTTCCATCTGCTTCTTTTCACACTAACATATTTGACTGGAGCTAATTTTCATTTCATTACATTCATTTATTTATTTTTAGCATGAAATCATATATTCTGCTGGACTAACAGGGAATGGAATATTGTGGGGAAAATTCTGTGCCTTTGAATAAATGTTGATCAGCCACAAGGAAGATTGTAGTGGAGAAAAGAAAGATGCCATAAATACTGCTGTAGCCTCACAGCTATAAGGTTCTGGGATTGAACCCCAGCTGACCTGGTAACTTTCTGTGCAAAGTTTGCATGTTCTCCCTCTTCCTGCATGGGTTTTCTCCGGGTACTCTGGCTTCCTCCCACAGTCTGAAGATGTGCATCTTAGGTTGACTGGTGACACTAATTTGCCTGCAGGAGTGAATGTGGGTGTGTGTGGTTGTCCGTTTCTGAGTGTCAGACCTGTGATAGACTGGTGACCTGTCCAGGGTGGACCCTGCCTCTCGTCCAGTGTCATTTGTGATTTGCTCCAGCCTGGAATACCTTGATACAACCCACTCTTGACTGTACCAATTCATGCAAGAGGAAAAATATAAATTCACAGATCATAAGAGAGCTGTTAAAGGAATCTGGTATGGTAGATATGTGGAAGGACTTTCACCTATTACTCTCCTTGACATGCAGAATATTCCAGGTTAGGAATAATGAAAGCAAAATAGGTGTTAGAAATGTTTCTGATCATTCAGGAGTGCATCTTACACTGCACTTGGAAAATAAAAAGAAAGATACAGCATTGAGACTTAATATCAGCATGCTTAATGATGGAGGCTTCAAAGAATACATAAAGACAGAACTTAAAGAATATCTGGAAAACAATGACAACTTACTGTGGGGATGCCTAAAAGGCAGTAATAAGAAGTAAACTTATAGCCTGTGCTGCTCATAGGAAAAAAGAAGAACAGACTTGTACTGAAATTACAGTCAAAAATGAAAAGTCTAGAAACTCAACACTCAAATCATAAAGATCCCTAGATGTTAGCTAAATTAAAAAGTGTCCAGAAAGAAATAAATACCATCTGTGAAAGACAAAATGATGAAAAAATAGGTTTCTTAGACAACAGTATTATGAAACTAGTCCCAAAGCTACGAAGATGTTATTTTAGAGAATATGCCAACAACAGGCTAAGAAGACCATTTATAAAATAAGAAATGCAAGAAATGGTAAGATGTGTCATAAACTGGAAAATATTCAACAATCTTTTGAGATTTACTATAAGGACCTATATGCCCAACTGATCAAACTTGTCTCCTTACTAAATGATAAATTCCCGCAGTCTCTGGATTGTCCCTTAGTAGAAGAAAATCAAAATGGAAGGTTGACAATCGAGATAACTGCCAAAGAATTAGATAAAGCCATCTCCTGACTGAAGGCAAACCAAACACCTGGGTCAGATGGTTTCAGTGCAGAATAGTTCTTTAACAACACCCTTAAGGAGGGACAAACAGCTCATTCATGGAATGAGGAAATTATATCAAAAATCCCTATAGGAGACAAAGACAAGGAGGAGTGCGGCTCATAGACCCATATCGGTTTTAACACAGACTATCAACTATTTTCTTCAGTAATTGCCAAAAGGATTGGAGAGACTATTTCTGAACTAATTGACCTGGATCAAACAGGGTTTGTCAAGGAGAGGCAAACACAGGTGATCTTAACATGTAATTGACCATATGAATAGAGAAATGATCAGCGCCACACTTCTCAGCCTTGACGCAGAAAAGGCATTCGACTTGGTTGGATGGGGATCCACAATAGTGGAAAAGCATGAAAAATCTCAAGGCTACAAGACCATCTCCAGAGATCTGGCTGTTCCTGTGTCCACTGTGCACAACTTATAATTTGACAATTGTCAAGTTTGACATTGGTCTTGACATTGGGTGTGGTCAAGATGGCGCCGTTGTGAGGACGCCTGTTTCAGTAGCTCCCGTGTGTTTGTTGTTT